CATGGGCAGGAGGGAAGGTGTGCTTGTGTACATGTTCAATTACCCTGTGCTTTTCTATGAATGATCACATGTTTTCTTTTAGTATTGTTAAAGGGTCCTGCTCTTCATTGTACACCAGGTGTGTATTCACTGAACCAGGCACTCCTGTTTCCTGCTAGCGTCTGAGCCAACTTGTCTTCTTGCCAGCCATCGGTAACTAGGCACCCCCCCACCTTCCTTTTCCATGTGGTGATCACGTATGTCTATCCACAAGGAAGTCTGTCGACATATCCAGGTTTTTACAAATGGGATTTGACACATGCAGAAAGAGTAAATCACTATCCTCCCAAGGCTTGGAGATATAAATGTACTTTTTCTTAGCATATAATTTATGTATTTTTTACTAGTCCTTGGTATATTCATTTATGTCACTGGGGAATATTTGTAACTTTTGCTGACGCATATGGCACAGGTCACGTAGGTCAGCGCATTAAAATATCCATCAAGTAGTCCAAATGACTCACGGCCAACATCATAGTGTCCTCCATTGGAACTGTGCTCTACACCTCTCTACACTGTAATAATAGTCTGTTAGATGTTATGCTCTACAAGCATTTTGTTTTACTTCCACAAAAAGCGTGGTTACCATAAAGCATCCAACAGACCTTGTGTCATGGTTTGATTTCCCACTAAAACTCCACGCCACTTCAAGTGCCCGTCTCTCCATTCATGGGCTCTGCAATAGTCTACAGCAGAGCTGATGCTTGGACCACAGAATGAGCTGTAAGAGGCAGTGAACCTCTCACCCTCAACTTCAGATAATAGTTGTACAGTAGAGAGGACAACGATTCACTCAATCTCAGAGACAACAGTGACATGGTTTAGAAAGGATGGATAAGTGCCTTGTTTAAAGTGGACAAGAGTGCTTTGCAGACAAATGTGTGGCGATACACACAGTGGGCAGACTGCAGACTGGACTGTGCATGCAGGCACCCTATCCATTACAGCTGGTGTTGGAAGGAAAGAGTTCAGGAGTGAAGTTGGAAATATCAGACCGATCGTTGGACAGAATTCTAAATATAGATTCTTGTACAAATGAAGTGCTGTTTATGCAGAATCTCTTACTAGATGAGCTGTTTACCACTTTTTCCATTCTTTATGCTATGCTAAGCTAACAGAGCGCTGTTGCCAGCCTGTCATCAATGTTCTCGTCTAAGTCTGGGAAAATGTTGAACTATTCTTTTTAAAGCTAATCAATCAATCGTACCTCTGCCAAGGAGGTTGTTCTTTCATTACCTTTAGTTTTTGTTTGTTTATGAGCAGGATTACTACTCTAAAACTGCTGAACTGATTTTCATGAAATTTTGAGGAGGGGTGGAACACAACAGAAGGATGAAGTGAAGTGGATTGGGATAAACAGGCAGAATTTTGTTTTACTTTCTTTTAAATGATGTTAGTCTTGGTGGAGGTATGTGATCTCTGAGCACCCTAGTTTGTTTGTTTGTTTGTCTCTTAGTTAGCAGCATTACACAAAAACTCCTTGATGGATTACAATGAAACTTGGTGGAAATATGTGATAAGGGTCAGGAAAGAATCCTTAAGATTTTGGTGCAGTTCAGGGTTCATCACATTTGAATCTGGAACAGGTTGCTGAACAGATTCGGAATCTTTGCCTGATAAAAGACTTACATGAATAAATGATCAATTCAATGAGTTGTGCTTAATTGAAGTGTTTCCTCACTCATTTCATTGGTTAATGAACATGTTTTAGCCCCATGAGGTGATATACTTGTTTTTAACAGCTGTATATATTCATGTAAATTAAGGAAAGTGAGCACCAAAGCTGTGCTAACCTGTATTTACGTTTTGATTTAATGTATGTATTACTCAGCCTGGCTATCTCACTTGTTGGACAGGGATTATTCAGCATTCATCTGCCTCCTTGTGAATAGCAAAGTCCTTAATTTCAATCAGCTTACATTGTGGCTGCTGTTAATAGCAGTTATTTTCAATGTTATAAAAGACAATTGTGTTTGTTGAAGAGTCTCTCTCTCTCTCTCTCTCGCTCTCTCGCTCGCTCTCTCTCTCTCTTGCTCTCTGCATGTTTGCTTGTGGTGGTTTCCGTGGAGATTTTTCTGGCATCACTGTGTGTTAAGGTCGCAAGCACTTGACCCGTCTTCCTCCCAAGGTGTAAGAGGTAATTCTCTGCTCTCTGCTCTGTAGTCACAGGCAAACAGTGTGTAAACCCACCTGGTCTCCATGACATATGTTTGTTTACAATTATATACATTCTTCCTTCAGTTTTTGCATGTACGTCACACACACACACATGCACACGCACGAGCGCACACACACTCTCTCCTCCTCGCTTGTCATGACACCAGTATTTTGAGAAAAGGGACCACAGAGTAAAACTAAAAATGAGGTGGTATATCAGTGTATACTCACTTACACTTTCAACATTTCATTTGTGTGTCTTTCAGTGTGTGATTACTTGGCCTGTCCTTCTCCCATCAAGCTCTGGTGTCGTCTTTCTACCATCTGCCACTGCCACCCTACTGACACACACACACACACACACACACACACACACACACACACACACACACACACACACTGTATCCATCCTCATAATGCTCTGTCAATACAAAATCTCCTCTCCTCTTTGTTTGTTTGTCTCTGGTTTTCTGGTGTCACTTTGTTTGTTAGCATCTACACTTTTGCTAAAGACATAAAGAATGAAGGCTTTGCCTGGAACATGAAATTCGAGAAATGCATTTGGCGTGTGTTTTGTGTGTGCAATATGAATATTTAATTCAACCCCTCCCTCTGTCATGTATTAATCATGGAGCAGTCTGCTTAGGCTGAAAATAGTGCCTAGCAACCCAGAAAAACAAAATTCATAGTAGTTGTGGGTATGTCATGTGCTGCTGCTCATTCATGTGTGACAGAGCACATGGTCTCATGGTCTCCTCTCACATTTTCCTTTATTCCCCCACTAAGATTTCTTTCTTCTTTTTGTCTGTCTCCACTGGTTCGAGGATTTTGCTGAGGGAGATTTCTATTTGTATTAGAGATACACACAACCACACTCACTCTGAGATTTTAGTTTGGTTTGTTCTTTTCTTTGAAAAAAGGCTCATAAGCTTTTGATTAAAAAAGTATATTACGTGTCTAGGACACATCCATAAGTGAACTCTGAATACATCCAGCTGTGTCTGCCCCACCCCACACCCACTGAGTGCAGGCAAAGTTTGATACATGTCACTGTAAGAGTCTGCTTCCTGAATGTGGTGGCAATTGTAGGATTACTGACCCCACCATTCATACAAGCTGCCAATCTCAGTGATAAACTGATGGAGGCTGAGTAATTGCTTCAAGTTCAGCCCAGCTGTTTGCAGGTGGAAGCAGAAATGTTACAGCAAGTTTGCATAGTCATTGCAGAGACTCATGCATTGAAAGAGCTTAAATTCAGGACCGTAAAGGCATGAGAAAGGTGGTTCAAGAAACTGAAATCAATGCAGCTGAAACAGAGAAACATGCTTTTAAATTTCATACATTCTTCTCCCTTGTGAAACCCTGGCACCTGCATTACCCACAAAGCAGCTCAGCCCTCAAGAGTTGATTTTGGAAAGAGTTGGGCTAGTTGTGTAGCCCATTACCTCGAGCAGAGATTAGGAGCAGCCTACAGAAGTCTGGCAAGCCCACTTCTTTCTGACTCCACACTCCCCAGAGTTTTTCTTTTACATTTTCAAACTTGTATAGTTTCAGTAAGTCTTCAGCAGCACCAGCTGAAAACTGACTACAGCCGTTTTCAGACAAGATCTGAAGAATTGTTTGCTGACTTTCCCTGCAGTTTGCTTTTCACACAGATGTGTACAGAACAACAGCAGGCAAAGACAGGAAATGACGTATTAATTCCACCACGGAGATACAGTGATTTTCTTTACAACACCTAGACGCAGGTGTCAGCTCTTATCACCACAACCTGTTAGAAGCATCATTATCCCCCCCACTTGCTCGCGGTAAATTCAGTTGGGGATCCCCTGCCGTGCATTCACATCTGACTCTCCTGAATCTTTAAGGACTTTATATTAGGAAGCCATGCGAAGAAAGTCAGCACATGATCCGAAGCTTCTCACTCTGACTTTTGCATTCACACATGCACCGCAGATCCTCCGTGTGTTCAGTGCATGTCTGAAAGCAAAGTGACATCACTAGACGCAGTTTGGCCGACACCTTGCCACATGGCAGCCAATTCAATTTTTTTTAAGCATATGCAGCAGAACTCATGAGACTTAAAAAGGACATTAGTGACAAGTATAAGAGTCATTGAAGACATTTTTCTATGGGTTCAGTATTTGTATAGTTTTAGAACAGTGCAGCGAAATAATTGTAACTCAGTTTGTTATACTACGGGAGTACACCTATGTTGTGCACACATGCTTGAAGCAAGCATGCAGCTGTGAGGTAGTTTTCTCGTCCTTATCAATTACAATAAAAAAAAGCATTAACTCTGCATTCATGAGTATAGACAAATGATCGGGTGTGACTGGAAGATGAAACATATGCATGATCATCATAAAAATTTATGGTGTCGGGCACTTGTGAGAGATAGATATATTGTTATCTAGTGACAGTAGTGTTAACATTTGACAAATTTACATTAAAAGCTACTATTTAGAGTTGATTGTAAAATAATAATTATTATTCATTGGTTTATATTGATGATCTCAGCAACTCATGCATTCTAATGTTTGCCAATCTCTGAGTTGTTGTTCCGACTTGAGGTGGCATTCATGTGAATTTATAACAAGTAACAGCATGATACTATCTAGTTCAAGATACTATCTAGTTCAAGGTAGGTTGGTTGTTTTACCCCTGAGCTTCAGACAAGTGGCATAAAATGTGATGTTTTTCCTGTATTTCTGAGTTGTTCGATTTTAATTGTCTTGTGAGCCAGATCAAATTGTTTTCCACACCTGATTTTAGATGCTGATTCCTTTTCTCCTCTCTAACAGGCAGCTTGAGCAACAAGGATCAGCCTCTGGAACTTCTCCATCCAGCTGCACTCAACCATTTTGGTAGGACTTCTATATATGTGCGTCCCCCTCTGTGTGTAGGTTGATCTCATTGTTGTCATTTTTATCCGTAACATGAACAAATCAGTGGCTAATATGCAAACCAGAGTGGAGCTGAATCTCAAGCAGCATCACCACAAAGTAGTGGATAAGCAGATTGACTTTTAAAATGCTTGAAGAACTGTTCTGATTAATAATGGATCTGAAGAAACGGTTGAACCTGTTTACAGCATGTAAACCTGCATGTTTGATACTGCCATAGGCTGATTCAGCTCTACCATACCATTCTAAATCTGCCATTTTGGAACGGACTCTTTGATTGGCCTGTGTTAAGGCTGGATGCACCTATCTTTCAAAAGCTCTAAAAGTGACCTGCAGTAATTGAGCGGCAAGTGAAGACTGGAAGAATCCTGAAGCTGCACCACTGCTGCTGCACAAGCGGCTGTTTACCAGTTTATTCGATGTTCAGTGAAGCTTGACTCAGTTCGCAGAACTGCAAACTGGAATATCAGTTGTCATTGCTGATGTGGATAATGCACCAGTTGTCACCTTCATGACTCCTGGCTGCGGGGGCAGTTTATTCATACTGAACATTTCATGTGTACAAATTGCACTACATTCGACACTGCACTTCTATGGACCCTTAACGATGCATACACCAAGCATGAAGTTAATAAAAAGGTTTCTTGAGATATTTGAACCCTATACAGAAAAAGGGATTGGATGATCAGATATATTTTTTCTGAAAGCAGAAACAAAGATTTTCCTTCATATTACTTTTGGTCTACTTTCCCTTGTTTATCTTCTGTTTTTTATATTTGCGCTGCCACTGACTCAGGTGACTGACCTGCCCAAAGCCTTGCAGTTGAGGTGTTGATGCCATCATGTCTTTGGGGTTACTGATGTCAAATGCACCACAGGTCATTACAGAACATCAGTGCTCATTGGAGGATCATGGTTGTCTTAGCTGGCTAATGTATGGCTCAATAATATATCCTGTCAGCATCTGCTTTGGATTAAACTTATCATTTACCTCTGAGCATGTGAGCGTTTTCACCAGCTGACATTGTTTGTTGTTTTAAGCATATGACAATGTATTATTCAGTGACCAAATCATTTTTAGATTTTTTCACTGCACATGCCAGAGCATGTGTGAGTAAAAGTGCTTGTGAAATAAGACATTTAGTTGGAACTTCACACTCTTGATGACAGGAATGTGTGATGATCTCACTCCATCAGCATGTCATCAACCCACAAGCGGTATGTTTGTCCCGTGTGGCGAGGACATGCTGATGCAGCAGTGTGTCTTAGATACGGCTGCCAAGAGCTGGAGCCATTTCGTTTGCTTTGCAGAAGTGACCCACGTAATAGCATAAACACAGGCAGATGTCGACACGTTAAACATACAAACATATGTAAAACATGTATTATGCTTCAATCTATATGCAATGTCTGATTGCTTGATATATATTTACTGTAGCTTTAAAAAATAAAGCATGTCGACTTAAACACTTGTTGGCAGCCTAGTATCAACAGGGCAACACACATCATTTGAGCCTCTTTTTAATACCCTGCTCTCTTCTGTGGTTGAGCGTGAGTTAGACACCTGCCTTTGGTAAAAGCATCTCTGAAATGGATTTACTGATTTTGACATTTATAGGTTATTTAATTGACTCTGTGATGGGAGAGTAGCAGATAACAGATAAGTGAGCTTAGTGTTGAAACCTCACTTGGTAATGATAAACTGTAATCCTGTAACTCTGTAAATGTAGTGTTGGAGCTGCTGCAGCCAGAGATTAACCTCTGAAAGCTATCTCATTTGCATGGGACTTAGAGTGCGGGTTAAATGCAGTTCACGTTGTAGACCCTTATCATATGCAACACATGTGTCCTGTAGGAAGATGAAAGGATGTTCTCATGAAATTTAAAATGCATTTAAAGGTGAAAAAAATAATCATCGATTTATTTGGATCATAAACTGCATAAAAACCAACCAATATGAAAGCCCTACAAAACTGAAATCAAATTGATCTTTGGTGGCTGCCTTCAGTGAAGGCCAAAAACCAAAGATCACACTGGTGTTTGTTCAAGTACTTACTATTTTCTGGTAAGTTTGGTTTTAAATAGTTATTCAATGTTCTAAAATCACAGTAAAACATCATATTTAAGAGCTTACAGACTCATGATGGTCAAGCATGTGTATCACTGGGACCTCTCCACTGTCCTGCGTGTGACAGTCTCAGTCGGAGGCTGTTTCCTCCTCACTCCCCCGCTGACCTGTGCTTACTTTACACTTAAACAATAAACACGTCCACTGATCATTTATTAGGGACACATACAGTACTGATGTTTACTTTGTGTTTGTTTGATTCGCTTTGGAGTCAGAATCAGACCCATGTGTAAACTTGCTACATAACACGAGACGTAATGTGACGCACGCTTAGTCAGGACATCAGGATTAAAGTGACCAGAACGATACGGATTCCATCGATTAATAAAAATAAATAAATGTTATTTTCAGTTCATGTTTGAGGAGGCGCCATTAATAGTTTTTATTTATTGATTCACTTCGTACAAAGTGCAGTAAAGAATAAAACTTAGAAAGTAGGTTGTTCTAAAAACCGAAGAGAACTTGCCACAGTGTCCTTTGCAGATTTATTCTTAGTAGCTTCTGTCTCTTCATGCGATCCCACACTGACTCCATGATGGTGAGATCAGGGCTCTGTAGAGGACAGAAATCTTTTTTCTTCTTGTCAAGGTCCTTTCTGTCTCTTGATATATATTTGGGATTTTTAAGCTGCGAAATGAATAGATGCCTTTATGATGTTTGAAAAAGAATCAAAACACCTTCAGTGCCTTAAACTTTTTGCACATTACTGTTTATACTGCATTTTCCATTACATATATACATGTGTTCTGTTCATATATAAATATAGTACACAGTCTGGCCACTGACTTCCTCACTGGTCAAATCATAAGACTGAACTGTTAAAATCAAATTTGACTTTGAAAATTCAGTTTAGTATGGTCCTAATAATAACTAAATAAGTAAATGACTGCCAAAAAAATGACTAAAGCGTTTTATTGGATTAAATACAGCACAATACAACACATTCATAAAATGTGTTATAATAAATTAACAGAGTGCCACGAGGATTAGTAGCAACCTGAACGTGAAAGCGTCCCACGCCATGAAGTCATTTTCTACACACTTTCAACTGTAGGGGGACAAGAGTGGCTGAAGTCAGCACTATTAAACTTAAAGTCACTAGTCTGTGAGTATGTGTGTTTCTTGTTTTGATGCCTCCTCGCTATAGCCGCGGCATTATGACTGTACATTAGTCCTACTCATGTGATTTCTCAAGGAACTCCTTAACACCAATGATGGTGACTTAACTAAAGATGATGACTTAACTAAAGTCCATGACTTACATCCATGGACAGACATGGATATCAACTCACCTGCTTGGCGGAGACATTTTGTGTTTTTAATGTTTAAAGGTCCGCTGTGTAAGATTTAGGTGAAAGGGATCTATTGGCAGAAATTGAATATAAAATAATCCTGGTGATGTTTTCACTGGTGTGTTTCATCTAAGGCTACCTCAGGTTATTTTTCATGTTTGGACAGTGAGGTGAGGAGTATTCAGCTGCAACATGTAACTTCCCCACTAGATTATACAGTGAACCTTTAAGATCAAGAATGGAATGAGTGTAGATCAGAGTGAATGACTAAAGCAGAGAGCAGTGGTGGAGTATTATCAGGAAGACTCTGTGATAGAGACAGATTTGGTTGCATATTAATGAGGATGACTAAACTGTGTACAGGACGAGGTACTGTAAGAGGAACCGAAGTCATGTGAATGTGGGTTTGAGCATCTGTTTGTTTCTGTGAATGCTCATGTGACATTGGGAGAGGGAGTGATAAAACTGCAGCCGAGACAAACATGTATTGAAGGACACGTGTGTGGAAGGACACTGAGTCATATCCCTGACAGAGCCAGGACTTTTTGGCCAGTCCTCACAACTTTACAGGACTTGACATTACATTACATAACATTATGGTACATGTCATTAAGCTCACGCTTTTATCCAAAGCGACTTCCAAAAGCTCGAGACTTTTAGGGTTCAGGTTGGAATAAAGTTTGGGTTAGGATAAGGGTAAGAGTTGGAGTTAGGTTTATTAAAGACAAAGATATAAGTTTGTGTCTGTTTGTGTGCCATCTCACTGTTTAAGGCTAAACTCGGCTCTTTCTCCCCAAGCCAAAACAGCTTTCTCCCACTCTGCACAAATTAGCAGCAGCCCACGCTCCACTCACACATAACTGTCAGAGCACAGACGCTGCAGGGAGTGAAGAGGAGGGAGGGGAAGGTGAGAGAAGTGACGAAGGAGGAGAAGGAGAGAGGATGGGAAAAATAGAAGAGGAGTGGAGCAGCAGTGACAGATAATATAGACCAGAAGCGGTTTGGTAGCCCACATAAGGGCTTTGTTATGGCTTGTTTCATCATAGCCTGGTGTGCATTGTCGTAATCGGCACGAAACGTGACAGTTGTCTCATTTTTTCTTTTCATTTAAATTTTTTGTCTTAATGCTGTGTGCACATGTCCATTTTCTGTCTGCACAGCGCTGATAGTAAAGCTTAGCAGAATGAGAGGCAAGCAAGTTGAGGGAGGATGAAGATTGCTTCACACAGGAAGTGGCAGACCTGTTGGCCAGCGCCTGTCCCCCCAACTGAAAGGCTTATCTTTATTTAGACTCATCAATTATCTGCAAGCACTTAAGTAATGACGGGGAGGAGGAGGTAGAATGAATGCAGTGAATGAAGGTGGGGGAGACATGGGAGGAGAAGAGAGCTCGGGTAAGCTGAAAAAGAGGGATGAGGAAAGGCACATTATGCAAATATCAGTGAGCTCATTACCATTTCAAAACTCTGGAAACGAAATCACAAAAAGTCGAGGATTTTTATTGCTGCATTTCTCTGGATCTTCTTTCTCCTCACAACCCT